TGCTGTCTGCGGCCCCAGCCGGTCCCGTTCTGGGAGTGGGACCTTTTTGAAGATCAAACAAATTGAGCTGGACAGTTCAGGCCCCCGGACCTCCCAGGAACCGAACTGGTAAGCTGCCTCAGCACGTGCTCCCTTCCTGGGGCTGGCACAGATGCCGGCTGGCCTCACGCGGTGCCTCTTCCTCAGACCCCTGCTGCAAAGCCGCCGTGCTGTTACGGGCTAAATTCTGACAAGTTTTGGATCTGGTGGTGGCGGTGTCGTTGTTGCTTCACAGTTGATGTTGCTGAAGGCGTTGCCATTCATTCACCGCCAGTTTTACTTAGTCTGCTCGTTAGATTCTCCTTCGGCGTGAGGCTGCAGCAGGAGCTGCCGCTTGCTGGCTGGGTCCCCCGCTGTGACGCGCAGGGTGGTCGGGCTGTGGGCACGCGGCGGCCCAGCCGCAGAGGAGACCCCTTGGTGCCTCGGTGGTGTGCGGGAGCTGATTGCTGGAGGTCCGTGGCTGAATCTCATTCGTAACCATAAAGAGAGTAAAACGTCTCTTGGACATTTACCTTTCGGGGTGTCTTCGTACGAACGTGGGCAAGGCGCTGTGCAGAACGAGGGACTGAGATTGGCACAAACGTGTCACTAAAAGGTGTGTGCACAGAGATGTAAAAACCCGCTACGGTCACGTGTTCTCTGGCCACGTGCTGGATGTGAGTGACATGCGGTGAAGGGCTGTCTGACACGGAGAGCTCCGTGCACGCACACGCGTGTACGCCTGGAGAGAGGTGAACGCGAGGTCACCGAGGGAGCTGCTTTCCTTCCCGGTGAGGTTAAAATCCAGCTTAGTTTTCAGAGTTGCATTTTAATCAGTTTTAAGCTTTGTTGATATCAATGTCAAATGAATTACGGAGCGTAATCGTAAGTTTTGAGCTCTCTGAATACAGCGCCTGCATCTCCTGTGGTTACTTGTGCCTCGAGAAGAGGGCAGAAGCAGTGAGCGCAAGGAGTAACCTCGACATCACCGGCCGGCGGTCGAAGGGACATCAGCTGGGAGAGGCCTGGCCGCTGTGTGCGTCTGGCGGCGACGCGGAGGAGCCCGGCGGAGCGCGACGGGACGGGGAGCGGCCGCGGTCCGTTTGCCGGTGCGTG